ATCTTTTTAAGTGGGAGAACTTGCACAATTGGTGGCTGACTAAATACTTTTTTGCCCCACTGTATATGAAGAATGTAACTCAGCGCTAGCAAACATTATCAAATCCAGGTCTATATTACTGATGTTCACAAGTCCTAAGCTACTGAGAAAGGGGCACAGTACATTAGCACTATAGTATGGGCCTTAAGCTTGGTCTCCAACTGACCAATGTCAAAACAGTTTGTAACTGTTAGCAACATAAATTACATTCGGAGCCAAGTACAATTTTTAAAAAAGCATTTTAAATCTCTGCATTAGAAAATCTGTGCTCTGTAATAAGAAACATGGTTGGTGTGTAAATTTCCAGTTCAAAATTGAGACAGGGCTAAGAAATGCTCCTGCCCAGAACCACAGTGATCCCAACAATACTGGGTTGAATGGACCACTGGTGTAAGACAGCATCCTACGTTACTACACTTCCCACCCACCTACATGTGGATGGATGATTTTGCTTAAACCTACTTGCATGCATTCCAGAAATTTCTGAAGTCAACATTTGGATACAAATATGCTATATTACAGGAACACAATTCAGCTTCAGGTCTTCTAAACCTCACCCAATGTATTTACTATTAAGTGCATGAAAGAAAGAATATTTATCTATTTTATAACTAGTATGACACTTCCAATGCTGTGAGCACTACTGGTGCCCTTTTCTATTCTTCAGTTACAACATTGTTGGGTAGATTTAAGGACTGATGACAATATATGGCACTTAGGAATTATACTGTAAACCACACATGTGCATTCGGGAAATCATTTGGAGTCATCAGGTGCTGGGCTGTCCTGCTTTAACTGATTCTCCAACTAAAGCTGACCAGGGTTAACAACATAGAGATTTTCTATGTTAACTTCATTGAAACAAAACACCAAATGAAGCCTGAAGGCTAAAAGTTGCTCAAATTTTGGGTGGTAATTTCATCTTGAATATTCAATTTCTTTTCCTTCATAAAGCACACATTAGTTTCTCCTAGTTGCTCAAAAGGATTAGATTGCCAAAAGTTATCTAGCATAAAACTATTTCAGAAGCACATGAACAATGAAATCAAAGTGCAAGCAGCATGAGTGTCTGGTAAGAACCTTTGTCTCTGATGAACTCCCAGTGTTCTAAAAGATCCTGTCAATTTACAACATGAAGAATAATTATGGGGGTGCACATTTAGGTATTTGTCTAAAAGCAGTGTGTGATTTCCTACCAATTTACATTGTAATTGACACTGGTCATCTTTTTTTCCCCACTTAGCGCTTTAAGATAATACCCACCAAAACATACACAGAATCAGTTGGGCAATAGAGAACTATGTTCTGTCTCTCTCTGTTTTCTAAGACGTAGTACAAATGGTGCATTGATAAGTTCATTATGTTGAGATACATTTACGCACATATATCAATAAAAAATATTCTATTGTTGATGCTAGGTGTAGAATATTCTTTGTTTCAACATCTTTTCTTCTTCCAGAAAATCCTCTCTGAAACTCAGATGAATAATTTTTACATATATTAATCTTCAAATCTAGGTTCTATTATTGATGTCCATATGCTGTTCATGTT